CATTTCAATTTTGCGTTACTTTTCGTAAAGTCTCTTTATAGATATAATTGCCCAAATGGCAATTAAGGCATTTTTTAGTTATGCCAGTTGAAACCAGACTTATTGCACCTTTTATGGACTACTAAAATATTATTGTCTTCACTAATAATTCTTATCATACATTAATGTTTGAATTCTGCTTCGGTGTGCGCTAAACCATGGACAACAAATATCCCATCCACTCTTCCCATGTAATCCATGCTCGTTGTTAGCAATTTATTTGATTATTAAAGATGTACATCAACTGATAAAACATTGTTTATTTTCCCAATCAAAGCAAAATTTAACATATATTCATTGGTATTTAAGTGAAAATCTACCGTGGAATACAAAACAAAATATAAAATTTTGCCAAGCTACTTGAGTTAAATCTAGGGTAGACCATGGAAATACTATCCATTACATAAATAAATAAATTGACTGTGTCAAGTTACTAAAATTATGTATGTGCCTGGTTATATCTTCTACTGAAGACTTTCTTTGTTGTTCGTACTTTGGACATGAAATTATTAGATGTGTCAGTCAGATTCTATTTTTAAATTGTGATTCCCTAATCTAAATTTGCATAGCTGTTCACGCAGTTCAATATATTTTTTCAAATTCTAATTTATTTTTAAAGTCTCTGTCTTAATTTGTTTTCCCTGTGAAGTGTTTGTTGTCATTGTAAATATCTTCTATCCAATGTGACATGAAGAATTGCTCACGTGAATTATTTTATTTCCTTATACTTTTGCGTTGGCATTTTTTGAATCAGTGTTTGATCTATTTTTATTAGTTGTGTTTTCACTTCAACGAACCATTTGTTTTTAATTGTATTTGCTGCTTCTTTGAGTAGTAAGTTTTCTGCACGGCTGTAATATTTAATTAGTTTTTTATGAATGTGTCCAGCGGAAATCTACCTAATTCACCATAAGTACCCATTATTGGACAAACACGCCTTAAAAGCACAACAAAAATATGAATATTATAGTAATACATTGACAGAAAGGTGATGCTGTAATGTATATATATATATTTATTTTGTTGTGTTGTATGTCCATTCAGGAGTTGGGTTGGAGAAGATTAGGTTTTTGGAAGAAGACGTATCGAAAATGAGCGACAGGAGATTCCGTATTGTCGAAATTCCTATCTTTCAGAGAGAAATATGAAGTTGAGATAATCTTTATTTCATCAAAATTGATAAAATGTGTACAGCAACCCCCCCCCCCTACATCCAATAGTTTCGTGTTTGTCGAATCCTCCGCGATGTTTTGACGAGTAATATGAAAATGTTAAAAATAATATATTGTAGACAAATATTGTTTACAGTGCTGTGATTTGAAAATGACTGTGAATAACAGGGTTTGGAACACTTTAGGGTGTGTTTCGTACACCTGATTAAATTAGGACATGATGATAAAAATTCACCGAACGTAACAAACAACATGAATACTGAGGCTCGAAAAAGCTCTAGATTGTTTTCGTTTGGCATCAGAGTACATGTATTTGCTATATTACAAACAAATCACACCGCAAACAACGCAAACGGGTCTTTCAGTTGCGACTACACATTCACGGTACATGAGTCATGACCGCAGACTATTTATAGTTCTACAGAGGTCAGTCACCTTGGTGGGCGTTTTCCTTGTTGACTTGTTGAAAAGTACTGACTACTCACCGCAAAGCCACGCGCAATCTCGTGTATTTTGAATATACAGAGGAGAGGCTTCGCCCTCTCCAAATCACTGATGTTTAAAAGTATATATTTACATGATGGGTATTATGCCTGTCCTCAAACAAGACAGTGTAAATAACTATTTTTTAAGTCTAGAACGTTTGAGCATATTTTCCACAATGATTGACTCTCCTTTGAAGTTGTATTGTCGGAACTTGATAATGCTTTTTACAAACTTGGAGGAAAAAACGTTCTGTTAACGAAAGAAACATTAAAGACTAATTTCACTGAAAGGGGTTTCCTAACATTTCCGTTCATCTTGTATTCTGGTGAATATTTCAATACTATTTCTGGCTTGAACGGGTTCGATTTTCCGCGTCTAACTGCCATAGAACACAAAGGTTTTTGTAAATTTATAAAGTTAGTCATTTATTGTACAATCTAATGCTTTCTCGTCTGGGAAACGATTGCACTTTTCTAACGCAATTCATGTATATTTTAATCTAATTAACGGGACATTTATTCGAAGCCATGGCGTGAAACCCACAGTCCCTCAACACAGTCCCTCAACTGGGACTGTGCTTTGTTAACCGACAGGGTCTTGCAGTTCGAACATATTCGAATATGCAAATGAGTACTATGCAAAGCTGCTTTGTGCAGTGATGATAAGTAACGCGTATCGAACTGTGCGGAGTTCGGCCGAACTGCAGCGTCAATGTGAGACTTTGACTGATTCCCGCCTCAAGTGTCATGGCGTACCAAGCCACTACCTGCCATTCGCAAAGGACGCCGGGAACCAGCGAATGCGAGACTGACAGTACTCGATACGCATGCGTGAGTGAGTGAATGATCTAATCAAAACAGGGAGTGACACAACTTTCCCAACGTGCGTGAGTGCCTTTGCAAATTTCGGGTCTTGCAACATCCGCCCTGATACGGAAGAATATACGTTAGTATTGTGCACAGGTATGGGAACAACTTAAACGAATCGTCGCGAAATTTGGACCCGGTTATTCAAAGCAGCGATAGATCGTTCAGGAAACTGTCGTCTGGATCACATTCTGAGTAACCCTGATAGTTGTGTATACCGTTGTCAGAGCAGACAGTTGAACATTCGGTTACGTTTCGACAATATCCAGCAATAACAAATGATGGGCAGCGACCATAGTACGCATAGGGAGTTGAAGGTGTCCGAACTCAATACAAAGACACCGATGCCCGAGACAACTGAGCTGGAGAAGAGATTCACCAAAGTACTGGTAAGTTTTTCATAATCATCTCAACTGACGGCGATCGTCAATTCTGTATTGTAAGTTAGAGAAGACATTTTCTGAATTCCCTCACAGAAGAATTCCAAACCTAGCCTATTTTAACCCCAATTAAAACAGCGATTTGCGTACGTGTAAATTTTGTTGGCATTTGTCTTAACTGTAATGTTCTTGCTTTGAAAATGTACGTGAATATAATTATGAACCGTTTCACACGAGTCGACCGGGGCGAAAATACAGTAAATGAATAGGAAGTGAACAGGTAGCGTCGAAGGTTGTTATCACGACCAAGTGAGTAGGTCATTTACAACTGTTTGCCAGCTGATAACTAACCACTGCGTAACAGAAATACGCTACTCGCGAATAAGTGTATTTATATTCGTCGTAATCTTAAAAAATTCAATATATTCACTTCCAGGCCACTTTTGTATTTGTTTCCGGTCTGTAGTGATTGCTTGTGAAAACAATGTGTGTTTTGTGGTCATCTCCAGACAGAACTAGGTTTCTCCTTTGTTCCGTGAGTCATCTGTCTTGAGGTTAACCCTTTCAGGAAGGAGCCCCACCAGTCTAATCATGATCCCGGATACATGTCAAAATTACTGATTTGTGAGAATACTATTCACGTTTTGTGCAGCTTGCTTTGAAAAATTAATCAATTAATGAGTTTTCACTTGTATTCAGACATAATAATAAATTATGAAAAAAAATACTAATAGTAATCTAATAAAGTGATCATTAATTAGCAACTCTATGTACTAGTAATTGTACAGCTATCAGATTTGTGTCAACTTAAAGTAATAACACTTCAATTTAGTAGTTTGTGTGAAATATTTTCAAGTTGAAATATATCGCATTTGTAAATAGAAGAATATTAAATTTTACTGTGAACTGCTTTATTTTCACTAGAAAAAAAAATTTGCGGGTCATTGAAAATTGCAATATTTTGTAGTGGTGAAAGTCACAGCAACTTTCACTAAATGTTGTCCTCTTGAATACCATCAAAGATTAAATGGTTTGCCATGTATGATGTAAAATACACCCCCCTCCTCCCAAGACAGTAAATCAGTGAAAATAACTGGTTTGCATGTAATTTATGACAAATCAGTAAAATAATTTCCTTGTAATATCAATTAAGTTTACTGTTTCCAGCGAATATAAATTTGGGCCAAGATAAAATATTTTTGTATCCGTAATTGTTGTGTTTTCTAAGTATATTTTGTGGATGTCCAGACGAGGATCATACATAGTGACCGGTTAGCAAGGAATACATTATACACGTGCATTTAAATAACAAGGCAACTATACCTTGTTTTCCTTGACCATCAATTATTATTCTTTCACCATACAAACAAACCTTTTCTGTATTATTTGAGGATGTCTATGCGCAATAATAATAATATGGTGAATATTATAGATTTTTTTTTATGCATAAATTTTATTACTGTGCAGTTTGACATCATGTTGGCGGATTATATGATTTTTTTCAAATAACATGTACCTTTCTTGTGACATAACAACAGTACTATTAGCAGATCACTACTGTCAGATTGTGTACAATCAGTGCTCTAAGAGGTTCTAATGGAATTTAAATATTATAAAATATATCAAACATGGGTGTGTTTTGAATCAATCGAAAGTGGGTGGTTAATTTTAAATAAAACATGTGAGAAAGTTTGACTGTCTTAATGGTACATGTAGTAGTAAAAATTTCATGCTATTGAATGAAATGTTATCAAAGAATTATTTATGCAAGTATGTAGGTACTGATGAATTCATCAATGTACTGTAACAATAATGAACACTAATTTTGGACTGTGTTTGCTTTTGATACTACATATCTCTCATAATATAATATAATATTATTATTAATATATGATGGTGAGCATACTCATTTTTTGCTTCCCACGGTTAATTAACACTATAAATTCATGTAAAAA